ATGTAAGATTTAACCCATCATTCAGCTTATCAAGATTTTTTTATTCTGTCATTCATTGCATTAAACATCTCCCAATTTTGTGTCATCCCAAGTTTGATACACATGCTGTCTACGTCTTGGTCTGAATTACTGATAAAAGTGTGGAATAAAATTGGGTTGAGGACAGAACTTTGAGACTTGCCACTGCAGACCTCCCTCCATGTTTCCGTTGTTTCATTGATCCAGTACCCGTTGGGATTGGTCATTCAACCACTTAATTGCTGGGATATCATTTTGTCCACAATTGTGTCATAAAAGCTTTGTGAAATCCAGATAAAACAGTCTACTTTCATGAGCTACCATTCTAATAACTGTATCACAAAAAGAAAGGAGGTTTCAAAGTAGTGTGTCCTCCAAGAATTCTCTGTTGACCATACATTACAGGATTCCTCTGCTTTGCATCCGTTCAGCACCTAGACATTCGGTTAATATAAAAATGGAGAGGATTGTAGATGTTGTTCATCCCTCACATTTTGTTGATGAAATTCTGAGTTTCAGAGAGGGGAAGTGATTTGTCTCAAAGGTCACACCTGTCTAGTAAATTGAAGAGCTGGGCCTGGAAGCCAGGTCTCCTGAACTGCAGTCCGTTGCTTTCATTGCACCATATTAATGCCTTCCATGAGGCAACAGGATAGTCTGCTTGTTAAAAATGGTAGCCTATGTGGGAACAGTGCTTTTATTCTTTTTGCCTCTGACCTATCCCCCTTCCCAGGACCTCATCCAATGCTCTGAACATAGTAGGTGCTCAAAAATAATTTTGACTTTTTTGTGCCTACTGGGAAGATTATCTCCTTAAATTCTTAAGCATTCATATTCCATAAATACACAATTTGTCCTTTGACTACACTGTAATGCTTTGATCTTTCTTGTTTTTATTTATTTATTTTTTTTGCCTTATGTTGGGACTGTGAAGACAGTGCCCTGACTGCAGTAAAGTGAACTTTTTCATTCCAAAAACTGCCAAAAATAATTTGAACATCCATAACCTAATGAACCAAAGCTTACCAGTCAAGGACTGGACATGCTGGTATGAGTTGGACACTTTTGAAGGTCAACATGGTACTGTTTAATGAACCAATACAACCTGCTTCAAAATTCTGTCGAGGCAAACACCAGACACCACACTATAAGGCTAGCATTCAGTTCCCTTGGCCCTAGTTCCTATGGCTTTCTTGCTTTTTCAGTACACATTAAAATAATTTGACAAGCCACAGAATCTTGTAAAACATCTGCTATGTGCCCAGTATTGTGTTAGGCATTGGGGAAGATGCAAAACTTAGACAAGACATGGTCCTTCCCATCTAGATCTCACAGTCTAGTAGAGATATAAGACAAACACACTGAGAAGTAGAATACACAGTAGTACATACTTAGTATGGTGTCCTACACACAAGTGTTAAATGTGGGTATTATGTGTGTGTTAAATGAATAATGAAAAACTGGAGTATGTGGTTCCAAGAGTAAGAGGGGCCATTTCCCCTTGAGGTTAGGCTTTCCAGGGTGGTGAGGAATTTGGCAGGGCTCTGAAGAGGGTTATCCAGTAAGGACATGAAGTGGTTGAATGGGATGATCTCTGAGGTCTTTTCCAGCTTTAAATCTCTCCTCCAGTCTCACTCCAGGTATAGGGATCAGTGTGAATGGAAGTTCAAGGCCATTTTCTGGGGACAAAGGATAGTCTAGTTTTGTCAACGTGAAGTACGTGAGAAGTAGGGTGGGGCCAGATTGTGAAGGGTCTTGAATGCCAACCAATAGAGAGTTAGAACTTTTTTTTTTTGGTAGGTGACAGGGAGCCGCTATAGCTTTGGTTTTATTTTATGAGATAACTGAATAGTTGCATAAGAAATACTAGTCTGACAGAAGTATGGAGGATGGATTGAGGAAAAACAATAGCAAGAAAGCCAATTTGGAGTCTGTTGCAGTAGTTCCTGCAAGCGGTAAATAGGGATATTATTAGTGTAGCGGGTATCCTGCAGTCTCTTGTGTGAGAGGACAGTCTTATGGCTGGCAAGCCCCTCCTTGGTACGTGGAACCCCTGAATAGTATCCCTAGCTCGGGGGTCTTTGTGAGCCAGACTCCAACCCCAGGCTCTGTATGCAGGGCTGTTCATCGAGTGCTGCCTCATCTCCGTCTCACCCACAAGCGGTTCTCTTCAGTAGATCCAGATTGATGTTGTAGGAAACTCCATCTACAGATGCACATTGTAAGTTTTCATCAAGGTAGAGAATTGCCGGGTACGCGAGAAGTGAAGTGACTTGCCCGTGGCCACACGGTCAATAGCCAGGTCTTGCTGATTCTGTGGCTGAATCTCCACCCACTATCCCATGCTCCCTCTCTCTAAGTAAGTAGTCAAATGAGATTTGTAAAAGCATAATACAGCCACGGGCTTTAGGCTCTAAGGTTAAGATACTTATCTTTTATTACAGTCTTCTTGCTTCATAGCTGTAGCCTCCCAAGGCAAAAACGCCATTTCAAATTGAAGTCTTTCCTTTTTCTTCAGTCTGTAAGAGAACCAAACTACATTGGAATCAACTAGAAGTTCATTATCTTATCCTAAACATCCTTTTGCCCAGAGAATCAGGAGAGGGTCACAGGCACGGTAACTGTCAACTGGTTGTCACATAGGGGTCTGGTGAGCAATGCAGGACCTTTTGGTGGTACTTTTTGTTATAGTGGCATAGGTGACAGAATATGTCAGCACCAGAATCCTAGACATTATGCTGTGTATCTGTCTAACCCTGAAATGCCCAGTACTGACTAATTAAGTAGGCCAAAATCTAATGGCTGCAGGAATCATCAAAAGTTCAATAAGTGACAGAGAATAGGTGTGGCACTGTTGTGGCTCTAGCCACCATATCTGTCATCTCCCACCTATGTGCATCTTGTGCTCAGCACAGTAACTGGCAGGTGGTAAGCACTTAATAAAAGCGAGTTGACTTGATCTATATCTCACTTACACATCATGTGAAGCCAACTGGAAAATGTCCCAGTGCTGCCAATCCCTTTGGAAACACTATCTCCAAGGCTATAGGACTGTAGTCCAAAGGACATATTCCCTACATGCACCAGCAGTGATGATTCTTTGCATCTGTCCATTCAGTTGCTTCTTCACCCACTGAGTTGTACTGTCCTATCACTCACGTTTCTCTTCATGAGAATAATATAACATACTCAAATTCCTTGCTGAAATTTAGGCAAACTATGTCATCCTCCTGATCGGCCAGTTTCATATCCCTGTCAGAAAAGGAAATAAGTTTAGTCTGACACAACCTCTTCTTGATGAAGGCGTGTTGGTTTTCTATAAGCACGTTTTCAAAATGTTCACAAACCATCTCTTTCATGATCTGTTTAAAATTTTCCCCAGGAATCCAAGCTAAGCTGTCTGGCTGATACTTTGCAGATTCTATTCTTTTACTTTTTTTTTCTTTTAGAAAATCAGAATAGCCTCTGCCCTTCATTAATCCTTTGGTGGCCTGGTTTTACACATCTTTCAGACATCCCTGATGATGATTCAGCCATCCCAGTCCACCAGTTCTTTCAGCCCTTAAGGATGTAGTTCATCTGAGCCGGATGACTTTGATTCATCCAGGGCAGTCTCCTTACTTATCTTGAGTTTCGTCTACCTATTAGCCGTTTTGGTTCTGTCCTCTCAGTGCTAAGACAATTATTTTCTGTGGCAGAGAAAATAGAAGCTAAATAGGAATTGAACCGCTCTGTCTTTTTGTTGACCATTGTCATCTCCAGGTTGTGGGCCTGTCTTTTCCTTAATACTCCTCTTTTCTCCAAAATGTAGCAGGAACACTTTTTTGTTCTCATTCAGTTTCCTTGTCAGCCTTCGCTCATTCTGAGGTTTAGCACTCCAAACTCTGTTCTTATAGTTACCATGTTATGTTTGTATTCGTCCTTTGTTCCCTCCCTTGACTCCATTTTTTTTTGTATGTACCTTCAGAAAATCTAAGTTAGTTGGTTAGCTCCCTTTGTATCTACATCAGTCTTTTCAGACCATTCCATTTCTCCTTCTTGTTGGAGTTGTTTCCCTTTGCATCTTTAGAATTTCATTCTTGAGAGTTTTTTACCTTTCCTACGCTGACTTCCCTGTTTTATTACGTGGAATTCTATCTATCCTTCCTCTGAGCTCTTTGAAATCTGCTTTCCTGGGGCAACTAGATGGTGTAGTCCATAGAGCACTGGCCCTGGATTCAGGAAGACCTGAGTTCAAATCTGGCCTCAGACACTTGACAGTTAACTAGCTATGTGACCCTGGGCAAGTCACTTCACCCCATTGCCTCAAAGAAAAAAAGAAATCTACTTTCCCCAAAACTAGAAAACATGTCAGATTATGCCTAGCTTTCGTTCTCTTCACACACCTTATAAAGAATGTTCATTTTCCCACAAGATTCCTATCATTTTCATCCCAGCAACAAAATCCTCCCTGTTAGTGAGAATCAGATCCAGAATAGAATGTTCCCCTTGTTGTTTCATCCACCTTTTGAAGAGTGGAATGACCATCAAACCAAAGTAACATACACCATTAAGCCTTTGTCCCCTGCCCTAACGTCCAATAGCCAGATCCCCTAATTTCCTATTTAGAAGGCAGATTGAAATCAGTGTTAGCAGAGGAATTTGGCTTTCAGAGAAGGAGCAGGAATGACTAAGTATGTACGCTTGACCTTCAGTACAAAAAGACGGCATCCCTCGGAGCTCCCCTACAGGACCTTGGGTCTTCCCTCCATAGGGAAATTTGCCAAAGCTTTAGGAAGAAGTGGGGGGAAGATCTCAGTTGCCTCTCTCCCCATTTCCTGCCATCCCAGTGATACTGTGGGAAAGTTGCCTGTTTGTCCTTATTACCAGGACACAAAGCACTCATGAGAAATAGTTTGAAAGTATTCAGTATTTTAGAAAATTAGCTTTTTACCAAATGCTAGTTCTGGCAACAGAAGGAACAAAAGATGATTTGTTTCTTTCCTCAGGAAAGATGGGTCGATTTCCACCAATGATGCACCACCAAATGCCTTCAGATGGCCCAGCTGCTGGCACCCATTTCCCCAGGTCTCACCTTGCAGAGGCAATTGCAAAAACCAAAGGATCTGGTGGCAGTGTGGGAGGTGGTGGTGGAAGAGGCCTTATGGGCCAGATTATTCCCATCTATGGTTTTGGAATTCTTCTCTATATCTTATACATTCTCTTTAAGGTAAGTAGAACCTACGTCATCCTTCTTAATATCAGGAAAGCTAACTGAAATCAGTTACATTCAGGCTTTGAGGATTTTTTTTTTTCAGCAAGAAAGGCAGTGTGGCTAGAGATCTGGCCTCAGGATCAGGAAGACCTTGGTTCAGTGCCAGCCTCTGATCCATTCTGGCTGTGTGATGGTACCATTCTCTAGGACTCATTTGCAAGACAGATGCTTTCTCTTCATTGGTGGGGGACGTTTGCTCCTTATGACCTCCCTACACCAATTAAATTATAGGTCTAGATAAAAATTAAATTTTGCTTAGCAAGGTCTTTTTTTTTTTAAGCTTTTTATTTTCCTCCAAAAATGCTTTAGCAAATAAGCCAGACAATGAATGAGAAAATGAAGCGCTGGATACTTCTCCTGGGACCCATTTTTAGATAGCATAGCATCATCTTCTCCAGTCACATCACTTCTATTGTGATAGGAGGCTGCCAGGTTTTAAAACCCCCCCAGAGCTCTGACATGGAGATGAGAGTTGTTGTTGCTTATGCTTTGTTCTCGAAGAGGACCATGACATCAGGAAGGTGACGCCATGACTTAACAAGTGAATTGGATTTATGTGAGGCAGGGCTGTGCAAAGTCACCAGCCTCATGTTCTCCTCCAGAGCCATCTGGGTCCAGTGGCCAGATATCTATCAGGAGGACTGGAGATGGCCCGGAATGAGTGGGAGAACTTGGCCTTTTTAAGCTAAGGTCTTTCCCAGGTCTCAGTTTTGCCTCTTTTTTGGTAAAGATTATAGACAAGGGGCAGCTAGGTGGCAGCTAGAGCTCTGGCCTTGGAGTCAGGAGGACCTGAGTTCAAATCCAGCCTCAGACATTTAACACTTAACTAGCTGTGTGACCCTGGGCAAGTCACTTAACCCCAATTGCCTCATCCCCCCCCCAAAAAAAGGCAAAAGATTATAGACAAGCACTTCTTTCTGAAATTTAGGGAGCCACATATTCTGACCCAACAAAGGACTGAGGCACCTAACTAAGTGAAATGATACATACAGACATACATACATACACACGCACATATACAATATATATGTGTGTGTATGTATAAAAATTCACAACAACCCTGTTAAAGGGTTAATATAAGCATTATACCCATTTGACAGATAACTGAGGGTCAGAAAAATGACTTCCATAGGGCCAGAGCCAGGTTTCAAACCCAGGTTTTTCTGTTAAGACCAGCATACCTTCCACTACATTAAACAGACAAGAAAGGGTGGAAATTCCCTCTAATGTTCAGCTGCTTAGTGATCTCAGATCTTGACTCTGAGATTCAGGTTTTGATTGTAATTTACTAGATGTCAAGAGATGCCTCATACTGTGAGACGTACCATGCCTTCCCCCCACCCCCATTGGATCTAATAATCTTGGCTGGTTTTCTGCACTTGGCATTTGAAAGTCTAAAATGTGTCCAGAGAATTCACCTGTTGGGTCCTAAACATGCTTAGCCATAGCTGAGCAACTTTATTTCTTTTTCTCTCTGATAAAAATCTCTTTCCTTTTTGCTTTCCTTATAGTTCAGTAGAAGGCATATAAAAGTATCTGAGCACAGAATTTAACCCACAGCCTTTTTCTTCCCAAAGAGGAGGATCCCCAGAAAGGACTTAGGAAAACTTGTTATTACTACAGCTGGCCCTGAGCTTTCCGTGTTCCTTTTTGTCAGAAAAACAGCCACATGGGGACTAGATAATAATTGAAATAATACCACTTTGTAATTATATGGTACCTTTCTTCCCAGGAGCTGACAGGGCTAATTTTATTTCATTGTCCAAGCATCCCCGACAGCCTGAGACAGAATGCCCCCTACCTAACCTAAAGCATGACATTTGCCAACTCCTTTGAGGGATCATTTGTGTCATTTAAAATGGACCCTTCTAAATAACACTTGGCCTCTAAGCAGGATCTTCATAGGCCGGGAGGCCATACGGCACTGTAGATTGTCGGCATCTCCATCGCAGATATTTCAGTTGGCTTTGTCAGCTGCAGAGGAGGGTCCAGCTCCTTCCTGCCAGGCTCTCTCACCATGATCCTGCAGGAGAACCACTAAGGAAGTCCTATAAATTTCCTTTATTCACTTTTCTTTTCCCTAACTTGGCCAAGAAGGAAAAAAAAACCTTTGAAACCCTTTTATTTTATGATGCTTCCCACAGGATCACAGGATTCAGTGCTTGAGGGGACCTTAAAAGATGATTTAGTCCAACACACCACTTCTCCTTTTCTTTCCCCCCATCATTTAGTTGTCCTGATTTTAAGGCCTTGTTTTGAAATAGGAAGGGGAGGAACCTCTGGAGTTTCTTCTGAGGTTGTTGCTGTTTTAATTGGGTTCCTCGCTTAACATTGGTCTCCCAGCTTTCTATTTTTTTCCCTTTAATAATGCTGTGTCCAGTGCCTTTGGGCTTTGGATTAACCGTTGTAACCCCTTCAATTCTCAGCTCTCTTCCAAGGGGAAAACTACTGCAGAGGAACAGAAAGCCACCCCTGCTCTGCATGGAAATCCAAATAGGAAGATCAGTAAGTATCATTTCTGAGTGGACTAAAAAGCGCTGGAAATTTGAGCAGTGATATGGCTAGTGAGATAGTATGCTGCTACCACCTACAGGAAATGGAGACATTTCCCCAAGGATGCTCCATATTAATCTAAAATTGTTGTTACCTGCAATCTCTTGAAGTTTAGCTCTGAACTCTCCAAGGGAAAGCACAGTGCCTGTATTGATATTAGTTTATCGCTGTAGACCAGAGGGACACAAAACAGATTGCTGTCACTTCACTTTCTAAAAGAGTTACTCTTGGATTTATTAGCCAGTCATGACTTCATATTTAGAAAGAGTCACCAATTTGAAGGTTTCAAAGCTGCTGTTAATAGATACCCCCTTTTACAGATGGACAAAAACCAAGGCAGGAAACAGTCAAGTCAGCACATTAATTAGTGTCAGCATTAAAAATAACACCTAACACTTCTTATTCTTGTCATTCAGTGTTGATTGAGCCCTGGCATGATCCCAGGCTTCAGAGTATTAAAACAGCAATAGCTCACATTTTTATAGTGTTTTAAAGTTTATAAAGTATTTTCCTCATAACCATCCAGTGAAGCAAATATTATCCTCATTTTGTAAATGAGGGAGTTGGAGGTCAGAGAGGGGAGGAGACTTGCCCAGGGTTACAGAGCTACCCATGGGCAATAGAGCCAGGACTCCAGCCTTAGTCTGTCCACTACGCCATGCCTGGACAAGAAGCTTGTAGTTGGAGGAGAGGAGACATATGTACCTGAAAAGATAAGTCACTAGCCAGTGATTAATGAGTGTTAAGAGTGATGGGAGTTGAGATGGGGAGAAGTCACTTGCAGTGCATGTGGTCAGGGGAAAGTAAAATGTAAACAGGCTTTTAAGAATTTGTGTGGGGTGGGGAGAGAGGATAGCCATGCCAGGTGGAGGGGGTGGCATGGGCAAAGACACACAGGCAGTGTAAACACACTTGACTAGAAGATATACACTGGGCAAAATGGAAGGATTAGTTTGGGTCAGATTATGAAGGATATGCCTTCCCAGTGCCCAGAGTAAGGCATTTAGCCTTTATCCTGCAGGCAGTGGGGAGCCACGGAAGGTTTTTGAGCCTAGATGCTGTAGACCAGTGAAGAGATGCAAAGTGATAGCCCCCTTTGCCTGTCTTTTCTCTGATAAGTGTGCAATTTTATTGGTTTTTCTTCTGGATTCCCTCTTAAGAGAGAAGCTTCCTATCACATTCTAACTTCATTCTACCAACCTTAAACATTCATGGAATAGTGCTATGAAAGAAATCTGGGACATTTTTCACACTCTCAATGGAAGTTTAATTGTTTAACCAGCCTTGATGGAAGTGCACTCAAAAAATAATTTTAAAAAGATTTATGGGCTCTATAAGGGGGAGCAGACCTAGTACCATATCTCATAATGCACTTAAACAGGGAAAGGAAATCAAATTAATACATAAGAGCAGCTGTTTTTATTATAATGGAAATGGCATTTTGTATCTGCTTTTTGTCCCTTCATTTCAGTTGACTGATTTTGTACAGAAAATTTAAAAAAATATATATGGAGCACTTATGTGGCACTTTGTTGCTTCCCAAGCACTTTACAAACATTAGCTAATAACATAAAGGTGTGTTTCAGAATTGCTAAAGGATGCCTGAAATAGTTCTTATCTTCATGAAGATCTAAATTCATCTGTCTAGAAAGGCATCCCAGCCATAGATAAAACTATAGCATCTATGTAGTAAATAGTCTTTCATTTCTAAGTCTGCCATTAATTTCATTTATGGGTTATTTAAAAACTTGTGCTGTTGTATTTTTAATTCTCTTGATTCAAGGACCACTGTGTCTTCTTTATTGTACTGCCTTTAGTGTTTAATACCACATATCTGTGTGATAAAGATCATTCTTAGACCTCGGGAAAGCGTCGTTCACTTGGGAGCCTTAGCATGCATTTTAAAGAACTTGACAAGGTTGTGTCTTAGCCTCAGAAACAGTTTGTGCCTAGGGAAGAGAGAAGGCTTCCCCCCCGCCTTTCCCCTCGAACATCTCCTGGCTTTCTTTTTAGTGACACATTTGCTATCCCAGGTGTTAGACCTGCTGTATATCAGGTCATAACTTGTTAACCATTCACTAAAGGTGCTTCTTGGAGCGTTTCTGTACTCTTAAATCTCTGTTCCTTCTTTTGGCATGAGAATTAGTAAACGAGAGACCTGATTAGTCCTCGTTAGCTTGACACAGTCCCAGCCCTTTCAGCTGCTTGCCTGAAATTTCAGACCCAAACCAGATTATAGAAGAATATAGCAGTTATGTTGCAGAAATGGGCTTACAAAATTGTCTGTGCCTGTTGGATTCATGTTCGTTTTCAGCCAATTATGAGCTTGCTCAGCTGCAAGAGAAACTGAGGGAGACAGAAGAAGCTATGGAAAAGTTAATCAACCGCGTGGGACCAAACTATGTGAGGTAGGTTTTCATAAAACAGAACTTTGCCTTCCACCCCCATGAGAGACTACACTCAGAATTCCACCCAGAATGCTTTGAGAGCTCAGCTTCTTTTTACAATTTTCCTTTTATTTGTATGTTATCTTATCTGTTCAGTTCTACCTCATTTCTCACGTAAGGTCTCCATATTTGTAAATGCAGCCACAGTTCTCCAAGAGGAAAAAAATACGATCAAGCTCGTAAAGAGTACTGGAAATGTGATATCCCCCCCTACTAATGTAGAATTGTTCATAGCGCCTACCTCAAAAGCAAAATAATTTCCAATCTTCTTTTATCAGTTGGGTTAAGAAACAATGGTGGGCATGGTGATTTAATTTGACTGGTAGCCTGGTACAATAAGATAGGGACATACTTGTTCTTTCAGAAAAAGGTACTGATTTGCTTCATCTTACTTCAGTTTTCCTGTAAAGTTTTGTTCTGAGCTAGGATCCTATTGTCATCTGATTAAAGTAAGCTAGTTCCTGCCAATTTTACTAGCAAACCCAATTTGCTAATAAAGATGGAAAAAAAATGACTTGAGGGGGTTGTATGTGTTTTTCTTTGGTAACTGAATAGTCCAGTATTGTTAGGTCTAAACAGTTATGTTCTGCAGAAAGAACATGCCACTGTAAAATTGCCTACCTTGATGTATTTTTAAAATAAAGTAGTGCATTGTTCTGTAGCAACCTGCTAAGGGTTATTGAAATGATACATCCCTGTGCCAGAAATGTTGCTGAATTATTGAAGAATTCTTCATGAAATATGGTTTGTGTTTCTGTTATATGAAAGGGAAATGCTGCTAGGCAGGAAAAGCCAGTGAAATGCTCTTGGGTTTGTAATATCAGTCATCCTCAGCTTGATGGAAAACATAACTTTAAAATGTGAACAGAACAATTATAATATTGAAACCTCTCTGGGAGCTGTTACTGGAATGGAAATTCCCTGATGTGTATAAAAATCAGGAGTAGAACACACACACAAGTAAATCACATCTCTGGGTTGTGTATTAAACAATAAACATTTGGAGCAATTAAGACCAAACTTGGATTGCACCAGCCCATCATTTCAACTCTCCGCATGGAAAGGAAGCATATACATCGGAGAAGCAAGTATATCACCACGAACCTCCAGGCATTAGTAAATAAGTCCTGATAAGTGAGTTAGATAGTTAAAAGCTAGAAGAGACAATTGCTTGGATATCTGAAAGGAGTGACGTTAAGTGTGTTCTATATAATTTAGTCTGGTCCATTATTCATGCAGGAAACATAGGCGTTCCTATTTTATGTAGCGATGACTCTCTAATAGGCACATAATAACTATTCAGTAAATACTTGTTGCATGGAGAGAGTGATTAAGCCAGCTGAACCATATGACAAGGAGCTAGCCAGGGCCAAGGGATGCAGCACAGTAGTGGCTTGCCATGGTGGTTAGCAACAGAAGCGTGACTGTGGTTTTCACCTGAGAACCTTTCCACAGCACAAAAGGCTTAGGAGCCACGGCAGCACCTTCCAGTGATTGGAGGGGACTGCCCTGTTTGTCTTCCCTCAGGAGGTTATCTCCAATTGTGTGCTTTACATACGAGCTCGTCTTCTTGCTTGAGGAGAAGGTAAAAGGACTTCCCACTCTCTGGCTTATTAAGTAGGTCTCAAAAAACTGCACAGTAGTAGAATGAAGGAGACTTGGCTAGAGCATTGGTTGGAAGGGAAAAAAAACACAAAAGTCAAAGATTTTAATTGAGTACTCACATAGCTTCTGCTCCTCTACTGTTCTCTACGGATCTCAGTCTAGGGCTGGTGTGTTGCATTTAGTTCTGGCTGCTCCATTTTCTTTCTTTCTTTCTCTTTCTTCCTTCTTTTTCGAGACATTGTGGGTTAAGTGACTGGCCCAGTAAGTATCTGAGGCCAGATTGGAACTCAGGTCCTCCTGATTCCAGGGCTAGTGCTCTATCCACTGCATCACCTAGCTGCCCCTGGCTGCTCCATTTTCAGATTTGTTGTTGTTCAGTCATTTTTAGTTGTATCCAACTCTGCGATGCCATTTGAAGTTTTTTCAGCAGAGATACTGGAGTGATTTACCATTTCCTTCTTCAGCTCATTTTACAGATGAGGAAACTGAGGCCAACAGAGTGAAGTGACTTGCCCAGGGTCACACAGCTAGTGAGTGTCTGAGGAATTAGTGGGGGAAGCCTTGGCCACAGATGGCAGATAAAACTATGGGAAGGCAGATTTGAGCTTGGTATAAGGAGGGAAAAGAAGAAAGGAAATAAGCATTTATTAAGTACCTACTATGTACAGGCAGCATGCTAAGTAAGCATATTACAAATATGATCTTTTTTAAAATTTTATTAATTTATTTTGATTTATCAACAATCACTTCCATACGTTTTTGAGTTGAAAATTTTTCTCCCCCTTCCTTCCCCCCCACACTCCCCAAGACGGCGCACAATCTGATATAGGCTTTACATTTACATTCCTGTTAAACATATTTTCACATTAGTGAAGTTGTAAGTAAAAATTAAAACCAATAGGAGGAACCATCAGAAAGATGAAACAAAGCTCAACAGAAGGTAAAAATAAGTGATAGCACTACGACTTCCATAGTTCTTTCCTTGGATATAGACAGCCTCTGGAGATGTCTTAGATCCTTGTAATGCCGAGAAGGGTTCAGTCTAACAATATTAGTCACCACATAATGTGGCTGTTATTGTGTACAAAGTCCTCTTGGTTCTGCTCACTTCACTCAGCATCAGACCATATAAATCTTTCCAGGTTTTTCTGAAGTCAGCCTGTTCATCATTTCTTATAGCACAATAGTATATTCCATTACATTCATATACCACAACTTGCTCAGCCATTCCCCACATGATGGGCATCCTCTCAATTTCCAATTCTTTGCCACTACAGAAAGAGCTGCTATGAATATTTTTGTACATGTGGGTCCTTTTCCCATTTGTTTGATCTCTTTGGGATACAGCCCTAGAAGTGCTATTGCTGGATCAAAGGGTATGCACATTTTTGTAGCCCTTTGGGCGTATTTCCAAATTGTTCTCCAAAATGGTTGGATCATTTCACAACTCCACCAACAATGTATTAGTGTTCCAATTTTCCCACATCTTCTCCAACATTTATCATTTTCCTGTTTTGTCATGTTGGCCAATCTGATAGGTGTGATGTGGTACCTCAGAGTTGTTTTGATTTGCATTTCTCTAATCAATAATGATTTAGAGCATTTTTTCATATGACTATAGATGGCTTTAATTTCTTCATCTGAGAGCTGTCTGTTCATATCCTTTGACCATTTATCAATTGGGGAATGGTTTGTGTTCTTATACATTTGTCTTAATTCTCTATATATTTTAGAAATGAGCCCTTTATCAGAGAGACTGGTTGTAAAAATTCTTTCCCAATTTTCTACCTTCCTTCTAATCTTAGTTGCATTGGCTTTGTTTGTGCAAAAACTTTTCAATTTAATGTAATCAAAATTATCCATTTTGCTTTTCATAGTGTTCTCTATCTTCTGTTTGGTCATGAATTCTTCTGTTCTCCATAGATCTGATAGGTAAACTATTCCTTGTTCTCCCAGTTTACTTATGGTCTCCGCCTTTATATCTAAGTCCTGAACCCATTTTGACTTTATTTTGGTATATGGTGTGAGATTTGGGTCTATGCCTGGTTTCTGCCATACTCTTTTCCAGTTTTCCCTGCAGTTTTTTTTCAAAGAGTGGGTCAAATATGATCTTTCTTGATACATGAGAAGGAGTTCCCCTACCCACACAATAGAAATGTGTACAATGCAACAGGCAGTCCTGTGGGATAGTGAGTTCCATGTCACTGAAACCGTTCAAGAAGAGTCTAGATGTGTATTTGTGACGGAGTTCATGTAATGAACCAAATTCTTTAAGATCTCTCCTCATGGTCAGACTATAGTCAACAGGCAGAGAGAACACGGGAGTTGGGGGTCAGAAGATTCTGGCTCAGACCCTAGCTCCATCACTTAGTTGTGTGACCTTGGCCTAAGTTTGCTCCATTGTTAAAGGGGATGATCATCAATCAGCAGGCATTTTAAACACCTGCTGTGTGCCAGGCATCAAACAAGGTGCTGGGGAGGCCAAGAAACGAAACCGTCTCTGCCTTCAAAGAGCTTACATTCCAAAGGGCAGCTGGGTGGCAGGGTGGATAGAGCGCCAGGCCTGGAATCGGGAAGAACTGCATTCAGATCCAGCCCCAGACACTTACTGGCTGTGTGTGACAGCTGGGCACATCACTTCACTTCTGTTTATCCATCTGTAATATGGAGGTAATTGTAGTATGCATCTGTCAAAGTTGTGAAGACCAAATGAGATAGTGATTCTAAAGTGCATGGCATGGTGCCTGGCACACTGTAAGTACTATGGAAATGTTAGTTATTATTACAGTGGAGAAAAGGTGAACTTACATAAGTATGTGCTATTTATTTATGCAAACACACACACATATAGATAGACAGATAGATATAGATATGTGGACAGATAAGTTTACAGGGTATTATAGAGGGGCTGCCAGTAGCCAACAGAATCAGAAAAGGCCTCATGTATTTTAAAAGGTGGCCCTTAAGCTGTCTTGAAGAAGGCTAGGGCACCTGAGAGGCACAGATAAGGAGGGAGTACATTCTGGACGGGGGGAAGCCAGTACAAAGGTATGGAGGTGGGAAATGCAGTATACTGTATGAGGAAAAATAAGAACCCCATTTTGATTGGATCATAGAAAGCCCGAAGGAGAGTTGAATGTCATTTCTGGGAAATCAGGTTGGGGCTGGCACGTGGAGGGTTTTAAATACAAACACAGGCGTTTACATTTGATCCTCACCCTTATAAGGCACCATTGAAGTTTGTTGTGGGGGGGGGTAGCATGGTCAGACCCGTGCTTTGGGAAAATGGCCTTGGAAGCTGAGCAGAGAGGAGAGGCTGGAGGCAGGGAAGCCAAAGGCCAGCTAGGAGGGTGTCG